CTACCGGGGGGGGAGCGCCCCTGCTCCCCCCTCGCGCCGTGACGGAGCCAGCGGCTGCACGGTGTGAACGCCGTGACGCCTCCCAGACGGTTTAATTACGGAGCTGGAGAGGTGGGCAGGGTAAGAGCAGGATCAGCCTCTCCCCTCTGATAAGCACTGCTGCTCCTCACAGTTTCCTGAGAACATCGGCTTCCGTAAGAGCCGCTTACAGGATCTATACACTTTCAATCAAAAATATTACAGCAACAACTAATTACGTCCCATCATTCCCATGGCTCTCTGCCTTTAATGGTGCATTTTCCTGCTACAGAACGATGGTGAAACTGCTCTGGAAGTACATAACGAGCTCTCCCCATCAATCTCCCGCGGGTTCGTTATGAAGGATTGCCCGCCGTATAACAAACCCAATCGAGAAAGGAGAGGATGCAATAAACAACAAGCAAACAAGTCAACACGAAACATCTTCTGCCTGTATTTTAAAGGAAACCGCCGATGCTTTGAGGTCTGCGCGAACCTCTCAGGGGAGAGGAGCTGCCGTGCCTGCTCTGCAAAGACATCTCAGCCGTGACACCACCATCCACAGCCACCAGCCAGCGGGAGAAGATCTGCAGTGGCCAAAAAGCCTCCGGTTTCAGTTGGAAAGGGAAAGAATTCATATATATCAGCCGAGGACGAGCGTGCTGTGTCGATTTGTGACGGGATGCATTAAGCTGCGGCCGCACAGCACAGCCCCGGACCTCCTCGGGGATCTCCCGTCAATGGCATGGATTTCAGCACGCAATGAAGATGCATCGCAGCAGGGCAGGTGATAACTTAATGAAGCTCAAATTTGGGGGTGTTTGCTCAGCAACTATATAACAACTTTATCAATAAAGCGCTGCCTGCTGTGACTGCAGGATGAAACGCTCTAATTACGAGCGGCAAACACTATCCGTATCAGAATACAGTAAATTGAAATGGGCTGGCTGATGTGCCTGAAAGCGCCGAATAAAATACCTGCCTACATTTTTGCAAGCACACATGTGTATGCTCACGAGTGACAAACCCAGCGTATCAGGCACAGACAAAAACCCCTCCACCAAGCCCCACGCCTAACACAGGCGATGTAAAGCGTGGACCATAAGGACCAAGTCCCATTTGCCAACACTCACTCCTCCCTGCAGACCACGCAGAGGAGACCCAGGCCCTCCAAAGGGGCTTGACCCAGCATGGGTACGTGGTGTTGGACGAGATCAGCCACAGCCATACAATCCATTTATCATAATCCTACTGAGGAGAGATACAGTAAATCAAAGAGACAACCTGCCTACAAATAAATTACATGGGGGAGGGAGAGGGGGAGAGGAACAGAGAGGAAAAGAGAGAGAACTGCAGAGGGAGAGATAAGAGAGAAGGAAGGAAACGACAGAGAATTACCAAAAAAAGCCTGCATCATGGAGAAAAAAAAAAAAGACAAAGGGGACCAAATCAAATATAAAGATAAGAGAGGGAAGATAGGCCCTTCAATACCTTTTGTTTTCCAAATTGTAAACCTGTTTTAGAAAATTTGGGAACAAGTTTTAATCCACCGAGCTCAAACCAGACAGTGGAGGCAATGGGAAAATCTCAGGATGGCATGTTAGAGGTAATCCAATATTTTCCAAATACAAGAATCTCATTTGCTCCTGTAGTGACAAAGTCATTTGCCAATATCGTACTTTCTGCAGCCGCACACAGGCCACAGGTACAGCAAATCCACACATACTACACGTATAGATCGTGGTCCATACAGAAGCATTTACAGACGGGTGCAGATGCGCTTGGCAACTCAAAGTCAAGCAGCACCAAGGGCAGAGAGAGCACTTTCATGAACACCAAGACAGACTCAGCCACCCCAAGAGCCCGGGCTCCTCCACCACGCCACCTCCAGAGGAGCAATCCAGGGCTGTGAGATGACAATGTTATCTTTCAGGAGAACGTTTTTCAGAACAATGTCACTATGCATTTAAATCCTCATCTTTGCTTTCTCGAGGCTGGGTTCCCAGCAAACATCACTGAACGCTGCAGCCTGTCCCAAAAATCACCATATGTCAAGCTTGGCAGTTAGTCATTTCATCCTCCAGAAGATGAGGAACAGGAACTCAGCCACCCAGGGATGGGCAGAGGCTTTCCCAGAAACCCTACCCTCCCAAAAGCTTGTGAGGCTGCCCAGGAGAAGTAGTACCCTCCAACTCGAGGTCCAGTTAAGTAGTGTGAGAAGGTCTGGCTCAAATGAGGGACTGCTTAGGTTGAGGAAGGGCAACAGTCTGCTCTTCGCCATCCAATGCTATCACCACCCAGGAGCACACACCAAAGCAGATGAAGGCTGAAGGTCAGGAGCCTGAGGACACTGTATCCCTTTGTCACGCCGTCATGTGGCTTCAGCACAAGATGGGCACAGCAGTCTCAGACCACTGGACTTCTTGGGTGGCGACCAGCTGGCTTGGACAACCACCTCACCAGCCAAGTGAGCGAGGAGGATCAAGTACCCCAAACCCACCCCACAACCCAGCAGGAGCACAGCACCTTAAGGGACAGCAAGGATAAACCAAATGTTGGGGAGCAATGTCAACAACTCCTTGTTTTCTGCTACTTTTCTGTGGCTCCCTTCTTGGTCAACGGCCATCTGCCAGCATTGGCTGCACATGGTGTGCTCCAGCCAGGTTGGCTGGAAAAAAGTGAGCTCATGCAGAAGGACCACACTCTGCTGAGAGATCTTCTCTTGGGAAGAGGGAGCTTGATCTTCACCATGCTTTGAGAAAGCAAGGAACTTCAAAATGAGGAGAGAAGGGGTGGGTGGGGAAGTGCAGGGTTTGAGATTTCACAGACAAAGGCCAAGGAAGCCTAATGAGTTCAGTGGAATGGGGCTCCTAACCCACTGGGATTCCCTCAGAAGTGACAGCCTCTAAATACAGACCCAGTTGACTGAGAAGACAGAGCAGCCATAAACAAAATCAGCATCCGCAATCACACGTGCTAGGATAAATTAAAAGGACGTGCAGTCTTCATGCCTGGACGCACGGGACATTCGCCCCTGGGATTGCAGGGGGATCCCCCCAGCACCACGTTCACACGTGTCTTATGGCCGCACCACACTCACCTACAAAGCCAACCTTCAAGGCCACCGGCGCAGAGGCGATGCTGGAGCAGATGAGATGAGCTTTGCTGAACTCATGCATCGGACCTGTGCCCCTCTTTCC